TTTTTTTTTTTTTTTTTTTTTTGGTTAAGATACACAGTTTTAATTGGATTTAAGGCATTATTTTATGAGTCTTTATTTTTTTGCCTAACCCAGTTGTTGAAAATCCTTAGGCTTTTCAAGAATATGCTCTTCTTGGTCTAAATGTTCTTTTCTTTTTCAGAACTGCCTGCTGGTTGGGAAAAGATTGATGACCCTGTCTATGGTATCTACTATGTAGAGTAAGTGCCTGTTAAAACACATTTGAGTTTGCACCCTTCTGTAATTATTTACATTTATGCTGAACAGAGTTTGCCATTGTGATAAGGTACAAACAGAATAATAATAGTAACATAATGTAAATTTTATAATGAAAAATATTCAGCAAATCTAATGATGGTAAATTATATTATAAAATTCATGAGGGCAGTATTCATGTCTTCTGTTTATCACTGTATTACCAAAGCCCAACATAGTCCTGGCCTATGGCAGGTACTGAATAATAAGTATTAGTTGAATGAATGAGAAAAGCAAGGAGTCAGTACACTGAGTATGGGTTGTTTATCTTCAGGAAAAGAATCAGTTTTGCCTATTTCTTGCCCTGCTTAAGTCTGAAGTTCTCAGTAATCATCTGTTTATTCATTCAGACTTTCCAGAAGGGTCAGACAGATCTAAATAATACATGAAACGCTGCCGCAATTAAGAAGGAAATTGAGAACTAGTCTAAGTGGCAAGACTGTGTAGGCCTCCTTGCCTTTACCATACAGGTGGCTCCTGTGTTCCATTTCTAAGAGTCTCAAACCCTCATCACTACCTCTTTACCACGTACCTTATTCTAGCAAGAGGCATCCACTTGGTCCTTTCATCACAGTTATATATTGTTAAGATGATACTCAAAGAAAATAAAAGAAACCTAAGTGGGTAAACATTGAAAAAATGTTTTACATCATTTCCTCTGAGAAAGATGAGTAATAAATAATAAAAGATCTTACAAAAGAGACACATGCCATATAAATGTTCTGTCATCAAAATCCTACCTGCCACAATGAAGATAACTTGGAACGCTTTCTATCACTGGAACGCTTTCTATCACTCACGCTGCTGGCAATGAAAAGTTATTCGTATAATACCCTGGTGATAGAAACATATGATGCAACAATGCCAGGCCATAAAATGCTCAGCATCTTATTGTAAAAAATTACGAGTTCAATATAGCAAGTGTCTTTGGTCAATACTCACATTGCCACCTCTTTACCTAACAGAAAGGTTGGGGATTGGGGGCATTAGAAAGGCCAACTTGAATGCCATTTGAAGCAACATGATGCATCTAGAGATTATCACACTAAGTGAAGTAAGTCAGAAAGAGAAAGACAAATACCATGTGATACCACTTATACGTGGAATCTAAAATATGACACAAATGAACCTACCTATGAAACAGAAACAGGATCACAGACATAGAGAGCAGACTTGTGGTTGCCAAGGGGGAGGAGATTGGGGGAGGGTTGGAGTGGGAGGCTGGGGTGAGCAGATATAGCCTTTTACCTATGGAATGGATAGCAGCAAAGTCCTACTGTATGGCACAGAGAACTCTGTTCAGTATCCTGCGATAAGCCATGAGGGAAAAGAACATTTTTTTAAAAAAGAATGTGTATATATATATATATATATATGTATGTATAACCAAATCACTTTGCTGTACAGCAGAAATTAACACAACATTGTAAATCAACTATACTTCAATAAAAAAAAATTTAATTTTAAAAAATTTAAAAGAAAAAGAAAGGTGATCTTAGTCGTTTCTCTGACCCTCATAAAATTCCTCTGTGTGCCCTACAGATCATTCTTCTCACAGATATACAGTGGGGCTCCTGTCTAATTGGGGCTTGTTTTGAGTTCTCCCTCAAATAATCTGTGCATCAAAAGAGAAAAAGAATAAATGACTACAGCTTTGATGGATAAAGAGACTTGGAGTGAGGGACGAGTTGTTACCTTACCATACATTTCTCCTCCCTGTCTTCTCAGGTCCATGTGCCTGTGAATGTTAGACTATATCTTAGCATGAAATTGCCTACCAGAATTAGGAAATAAACAAGTAGTCCTATAATAGGAATTAAGGGTAGTCGGCCTATCCACCCTACTTGACAAGCCTGTCTTTAAAAAATAAAGCCTTGCTTGAAAAAATATTTTGAGTTCTAAATAATCACATAATATGAATATTTTCAAACTTCTTATGAAGTATGATTTTGATGAAGGAAAAAAGGATTATGTTTATGCTTGTGTGTCTGTGTACTATGTGTGTATGTACATATACATACACTAAATAGGGTGATGGCAAAACAATATGCATTTGGATTTATATATATGTTTGTGTGTGTGTGTGTGTGTGTGTATTTTTATCTTGCCTTGGCCTTATTAGTTTGGGAGCCATCTGAAGTATCTGGGTCTTTGTCACTTTGAACACATCACATTTGCTTAGGTTAGCTGCATTTGGAGTCTTTTTGCCTAAGGCTTATCCTTTGAATCCTGACCCCACGCCTATTGATCAGAATAGTTGACAGATGTTGGTAGAGTCCTTCTTCTAACTTGATCGTTTGGGAAATGCTTATGCTTCCGTGAATTCCGTTGTAGAAAGTTACGTAGAATTTCTGGCGTTACTTATTACAGACAACACCACATCTTCACTTTAATCTCCTTTTAAAATAATTCTATAATCGACTTCTTGTTGAATTAAGGAAACACCCTCCTGTCACGTGATTCCTTGGGCATTTGGCAGAGTCAGTGGTTATAATCCTGGGACTTGAAAGCAGGCCAGTCTGAGCTTGAATCCTCTTTACTGTTGACTAGTTCTGTTTTGTTAGGTGAGCTGTTTCTTAACTGCTCAGAAACTTCCTTTCCTTATCCATAAAATAGGAATAAAAATAGGACCTCTATCCTAGCATTTATTGAAGATTTTAAAAATAAAATGCATGTAAAGCTGGTAGCACAGTGCTTGTTACAAATAAGTAGTCAGTATATGGAAACCATTCATTTTTGTTTTTATTTTATTTTATCTTCGTAACTGTGCTTTTTGACGCAAGATGCTCAACATCTCAGACCACCTGCTTTGCTCAGGTCTAATCAAGGGACTTGGACTGATTGGCTTTTTGCTTGTGGGATATGCACTGTTTCCTAACTGAATGCAATCTGCCTTCTGCTCCAGCCACATCAACAGGAAGACACAATATGAGAACCCGGTTCTAGAAGCCAAACGGAAGAGGCAGCTGGAGCAACAGCAGCAGCAGCAGCAGCAGCCAGAAGGTTCGCTTTCCCGTGATCTGTGGGCCAAGGAGCTCTGGGCAAAGCCTGGGCGCGGACACCCCCGTGTGGTCGGAACTGGCCACGAGCATCACGTCCTTTGCCGTGCTGGGGACTGGATGTCCTGGAAGGGTGGGGAGAAATGCAGAGCCTCTGCTAGATTCCATACCCTGAACCTGGACGGCTAAAGTCGGGGGTCCAGTTGAAAAGCACCCAGTCTCCACTCTAATTTAGAAAGGGGCTGCCGTTAGATTGGAGAACATTCCTGATGGTGGAAGAACTACCTTGTGCTCAGTAGCTTTTGCACAGCACCTGGTATCTAAATCCAAACCACTTTTAGCACGTTAAGAGGAGGTGCTGGGTATGAAACTAACTTTTAATTTTAGGAACATCACATATAAGAATCAGAAAACGCTGTTAATTTTCAGTGCTTTCAAAAAATTACAAGTTAGTTCATGCTCTTCACAAAAATATGAACAATTCAGGAGTGGAGAACATATAAGTTCTCCATTTAAGCCAGTGGAGGCCCTACTGGTTCCCATCCCACTCTCAGCAATAAAGACTGTGCAGAAATTTTCTGGGGATGTACAAATATGCATCTTTTTACAAAAAGTAGATCATAGTTTATATATATTAATATATATTTGTATATGTATTAGTTTTGTGACCTTTTTTTTTTCACTTAAGTATATCTCTTGCACAAATTTCAATGCTACTTAATATAGATTTACCTTTTTTTAACCTTTAAATTTTTTTTTTAAACATCTTTATTGGAGTATAATTGCCTTACAGTGGTGTGTTAGTTTCTGCTTCATAACAAAGTGAATCAGCTATACATATACATATAGCCCCATATCCCCTCCCTCTTGCATCTCCCTCCCACCCTCCCTATCCCACCCCTCAAGGCGGTCACAAAACACTGAGCTGATCTCCCTGTGCTATGCGGCTGCTTCCCACTAGCTATCTATTTTACATTTGGTAGTGTATATATGTCCATGCCACTCTCTCACTTCGTGCCAGTTACCCTTCCCCCTCCCCGTGTCCTCAAGTACATTCTCTACATCTGCGTCTTTATTCCTGTCCTGCCCCTAGGTTCTTCAGAACCATTCTTTTTTTTTTAGATTCCGTATATATGTGTTAGTATACGGTATTTGATTTTCTCTTTCTGACTTACCTCACTCTGTATGACAGACTCTAGGTCCATCCACCTCACTACAAATAACTCAGTTTCTCTTCTTTTTGTGGTTGAGTAATATTCCATTGTACATATGTGCCACATCTTCTTTATCCATTCATCTGTCAATGGACACCTAGGATGCTTCCATGTCCTGGCTATTGTAAATAGTGCTGCAATGAACATTGTGGTGCATGTCTCCTTTTGAATTATGGTTTTCTCAGGGTATATGCCCAGTAGTGGGATTGCTGGGTCGTATGGTAGTTCTATTTTTAGTTTTTTAAGGAACCTCCATTCTGTTCTCCATAGTGGCTGTATCAATTTACATTCCCACCAACAGTGCAAGAGGGTTCCCTTTTCTCCACACCCTCCCCAGCATTTATTGTTTGTAGATTTTTTGATGATGGCCATTCTGACCAGTGTGAGGTGATACCTCATTGTAGTTTTGATTTGCATTTCTCTAATGATTGGTGATGTTGAGCATCCTGTCATGTGTTTGCTGACAATATGTATATCTTCTTTGGAGAAACGTCTGTTTAGGTCTTCTACCCATTTTTGGATTGGGTTGTTTGTATTTTTGATATTGAGCTGCATGAGCTGCTTGTATATTTTGCAGATTAATCCTTTGTCAGTTGCTTCATTTGCAAATGTTTTCTCCCATTCTGAGGGGTGTCTTTTCGTCTTGTTTATGGTTTCCTTTGCTGTGCAAAAGATTTTAAGTTTCATTAGGTCCCATTTGCTTATTTTTGTTTTTATTTCCATTTCTCTAGGAGGTGGGTCAAAAAGGATCTTGCTGTGATTTATGTCATAGAGTGTTCTGCCTGTGTTTTCCTCTAAGAATTTTATAGTGTCTGGCCTTACATTTAGGTCTTCAATCCATTTTGAGTTTATTTTTGTGTATGGTGTTAGGGAGTGTTCTAATTTCATTCTTTTACATGTAGCTGTCCAGTTTTCCCAGCACCTCTTACTGAAGAGGCTGTCTTTTCTCCGCTGTATATTCTTGCCTCCTTTATCAAAGATAAGGTGATCATATGTGGGTGGGTTTATCTCTGGGCTTTATATCCTGTTCCACTGATGTATATTTGTGTTTTTGTGCCACTACCATACTGTCCTGATTACTGTAGCTTTCTAGTTTAGGCTGAAGTCCGGGAGCCTGATTCCTCCAGCTCCGTTTTTCGTTCTCAAGATTGCTTTGGCTCTTCGAGGTCTTTTGTGTTTCCATACAAAGTGTGAAAATTTTTGTTTTAGTTCTGTGAAAAATGCCATTGGTAGCTTGATAGGGATTGCTTTGAATCTGTAGATTGATTTGGGTAGTATAGTCATTTTCACAATGTTGATTCTTCTAATCCAAGAACATGGTATATCTCTCCATGTGTTTGTATCATTTTATCTTCCAGGTCACTTATCTGTTCTTCTGCCTCAGTTATTCTGCTATTGATTCTTTCTAGAGACTTTTTAATTTCATTTATTTTGTTGTTCATCATTGTTGGCTCTTTTGTTCTTTCAGGTCCTTGTTAAACGTTTCTTGTATTTTCTCCATTCTGTTTCCAAGATTTTGGATCATCTTTACTATCATTACTCTGAATTCTTTTTCAGGTAGACTGCCTATTATACTCTTCATTTGTTAGGTCTGGTGGGTTTTTTATCTTGCTCCTTCATCTGCTGTGTGTTTCTCTGTCTTCTCATTTTGCTTAACTTACTGTGTTTGGGGTCTTCTTTTCGCAGGCTGCAGGTTCATAGTTCCTGTTGTTTTTGGTGTCTGCCCCCAGTAGCTAAGGTTCGTTCATTGGGTTGTGTACGCTTCCTGGTGGAGGGGACTGGTGCCTTTGTTCTCGTGGATGAGGCTGGATCTTTCTGGTGGGCAGAACCACGTCTGGTGGTGTGTTTTAGGGTGTCTGTGACCTTATTATGATTTTAGGCAGCCTCTCTGCTAATGGTGGGGTTGTGTTCCTGTCTTGCTAGTTGTTTGGCATAGGGTGTCCAGCACTGTAGCTTGCTGGTCGTTGAGTGGAGCTGGGTCTTAGCGTTGAGATGGGTATCTCTGGGAGAGCTTTCACCATTTGATATTACGCGGAGCCGAAAGGTCTCTGGTGGACCAATGTCCTGAACTCGGCTCTCCCACCTCAGAGGCACAGCCCTGACACCCGGCTGGAGCACCAAAACCCTGTCAACCACACAGCTCAGAAGAAAAGGGAGGAGAAAGAAGCAAGAAGGCAGGAAGGGAGGGAGGGAGGAAAAGTTATTAAAATAAAAAAAAATTTTTTTTCCAATAAAAAGTAATTTGAAAAAAGAAAGGAAGAAGAGAGCAACGAAACCAAAAAAACAAATCCGCCAATTATAACAAGCACTAAAAACTATACTGGAAAAAAAAAAAAAAAGGACAGAACCCTAGGACAAACGGTAAAAGCAAAGCTATACAGAAAAAATCACACAAAGAAGCATACACGTACACACTCACAAAAAGAAAAAAAGGAAAAACAAAAAGATTATCTATGTATATAAAAAAAAAAAAAAACGAAGAGAGCGACAAAATCGATAAACAGATCTACCAATGATAATAAACTCTAAATACTAAACTACGATAAACATAAAAGCAGAAACAAATTAGATGCAGAAAGCAAACCCCAAGTCTAAAGTTGCTCCCAAAGTCCACCTCCTCAATTTGGGGATGATTCGTTGTCTATTCAGGTATTCCACAGATGCAGGGTACATCAAGTTGACTGTGGAGATTTAATCTGCTGCTCCTGAGGCTGCTGGGAGAGATTTCCCTTTCTCTTCTTTGTTCGCACAGCTCCTGGGGCTCAGCCTTGGATTTGGCCCCGCCTCTGCGTGTAGGTCGCCTGAGGGCATTCCTACAGACAGGACAGGGTTAAAGGAGTAGCTGATTCGGGGGCTCTGGCTCACGTAGGCCAGGGGGAGGGAGGGGTATGGAGTGCGGGGCGAGCCTGCGGCGGCAGAGGCCAGCGTGACATTGCACCCGCCTGAGGCGCGCCGTGCGTTCTCCCGGGGAAGTTGTCCCTGGATCACGGGACCCTGGCAGTGGTGGGCTGCGCGGGCTCCCGGGAGAGGAGGTGTGGATAGTGACCTGTGCTTGCACACAGGCTTCTTGGTGGCTGCAGCAGCAGCCTTAGCATCTCATGCCCGTCTCTGGTGTGCGCGCTGGTAGCCGCGGCTCGCACCCGTCTCTGGAGCTCGTTTAGGTGGCGCTCTGAGTCCCCTCTCCTCGCGCACCTTGAAACAGTGGTCTCTTGCCTCTTAGGCAAGTCCAGGCTTTTTCCCGATAGCTGTGGTGCACTAGCCCCTTCAGGCTGTGTTCATGCAGCCAACCCCAGTCCTCTCCCTGGGATCCGACCAAAGCCGGAGGCTCAGCTCCCAGCCCCCGCCCACCGCAGCATGTGAGCAGACCAGCCTCTCGGGCTGGTGAGTGCCGGTCGGCACTGGTCCTCTGTGCGGGAATGTCTCCGCTTTGCGCTCTGCACCCCTGTTGCTGCGCTCTCCTCTGTGGCTCCAAAGCTTCCCCCCTGCCACGCCCCCATCTCCGCCGGTGAAGGGGCTTCCTAATGTGTGGAAACTTTTCCTCCTCCACAGCTCCCTCCCAGAAGTGCAGGTCCCATCCCTATTTTTTTGTCTGTTTTTCCTTTTTTCTTTTGCCCTACCCAGGTACGTGGGGAGTTTCTTGCCTTTTGGGAGGTCTGAGGTCTTCTGCCAGCATTCAGTAGGTGTTCTGTAGGAGTTGTTCCACATGTAGATGTACTTCTGATGTATTTGTGAGGAGGAAGGTGATCTCCATGTCTTACTCCTCCGCCATCTTGAAGGTTTCCTACCTTGTAATTTTTAATGACTGCATATTATTCCCTTTTATGAATCTCTACACTTCATTTAGCCATCTATTTATTAATAGATGCTTAGGTGTTTCCTCATTTTTCATTGCAATCTTTAAAAATAATAGGCTTAGTACCCCTTCAGTGTAATATGTGGGTATCAGGTATATGGATATCGAGTATAATACTTCTCTTATTATAATATTGAATATAATAAATATAGACCATAGCCTGGAAGTTGGCAAACATTTTCTGTAAATGGCCATATAATAAATACTTTAGGCATTGCTATTCATACAGTCTCTATTAAAACTGCTCATCTCTGCCCGTATGGTATGAAAACAGCTACAGACTCTATGTAAACAAGTGGACATGGCTGTGTTTCAGTAAAACATTATGTGTGAACACTAAAATTTGAACCTCATGTAATTTTCATGTGTTACAAAATATTCTTTTTAGATTTTTTTCAATCATTTAAATATGTAGAAACCATTCTTGGCTTACAAGCTTCATAAAAATAGACATTAGGACCAATTTGGCCTGTAAGTCATAGTTTGACAACCGCTGCCATAGACTATATTTTAGAGAGAGTGTGTTTGTGTCTATGTGTGTGTGAGTATACTCACCCATTGAAAAGGTCTCCTTTCTACCTTAATCTCTTTCTATTTAAAAATTTTTTAAATTTTTTTATGAGTTTGGGGAATGGGAGTGTACAATTGAAATATGAGTGTTAAAATTGATGTACATATACAACTGACTGTTAGCTTAGCTGGAAAAGTGACTTTGGGGTAGATCTCAAGGATCACTCATAGTGGGTTATTTCTGGGCCTCCAAAGTGAGTACGACTTAGGACTCAGGAGTTTTAGTAATGGGTCCCATTTGGGCTTGAGAGATGATAGGGAATCTCACCTTAGTAAACTGCTACAATCCACCTTCAGTACCCCAGACAAGCAGGCTTCAGCAGCCCAGCCTAGGTGTAAATTGCATTAGAGAAGTTTCTCGCATACTGGGCCAGCTTTAGTTAAGTCTGTATCTTTCCTGATATTTTTTACTTGGTCTCACTTTGTACTCTCCAGCCAGAGAGAGCTGGAGATTTTATTAGTTGTATTTTTATTGGTTGTATTTCTGTCCTCAAAGATCTTAGGAGAAAGAGACAGAAAAACACACACACACACACACACACACACACACACACACACAGTGGGAGGGACCTTATTATCCTCATCATAGAGTGGGGTCAGATACCAGTTTCTTTTCATTCGAAGCTCTCTGCTTCTGGGTTTATAGGTTTGGGTAGTTTTATGATTAAGTTTTATAATGAAGAAGAAGGTGAATCCTAAGTAAGGCAACCTAAGTAAGTAATCTTAAGTAAGCAAATGAAAGGAAAAACAGCAAACTGTTTCTTGTCTTCTTGTAGAATGGACAGAAGATCATTCATCGCTCGTGCCTCCTATTATTCCAAACCACCCCCCAAGCAATCCGGAGCAGGCCAGAGAACCTCCACTTCAGGGTAAAGTGTTTTTATAATTGCATCCTAATTTGGCTCAAAATTTTAATTTTTTTAAAGAAACTTTAAAGAGTGGAATCTTGTAACGCCCAAGTCATTCCAAAGAATTGTTCCTAGACAGTTCTTTGTTGTGGGCTGTCCTGTATGTATTGTAGGACACTGAGCAGTGTTCCTGGCCTCTACCCACTAGGTGCCAGGAGAATCCCTCCCACTTTGTGACAAACAAGTCCCCAGATATTGCCACATGCCCCTGGCGGGGGGCGGGGGGGGTAGAGTTGTGAATCCTTGATTTAGAGACCACAGATATTTAATATTGTGTTAAATAAGATACACTGAAAATTCAACACTAGATGATATTTCAAGATTCTAGTCAACGTGTTTGATTTTGACTAAGATTTTCTTGTAAATATAAAATGGTTTGATATTATTGTGTTGTAAACTCTAACCTCTTTTCTTGCTGCAGTTTTGGCATTTATGCATGTTTTACATCGCTTCATTGGGTCTCACTTATTTACATTCACAAGTAGTATGCATCCCCTACAGAGATTCATTTTTGAAAATTGGAAGCTCCAGAATCTTGCTACTTTCAGGCCTCATTACTCTTAAGGGATAGAAAAGGTTTTGGGGTTTTTTGTTTAGTTTTTTTCTTTTGAATAAAAAAAATAGAACAAGCAGCATATTTGATAGTGTTGGGGAGTTTGTGTTACAGAACCATGAAAAAAAACTGTAAGATTTGTGTTCCTTCTCTCAACATTCTAAAAGAAATAAATAATTGTGTCAGACATTGAAAGATAAGTAGAATACCTCTTTTCCCTAATTTTCATTCCTCCATTGTAATTTTCATAAGAAAAATTGTTTCCCTTTTAGCTGATATTGTCATGAGATTGGTATTAATATCAACTTATATAAAATAATTTCATACTTTTCTATGGTGTTAATGGTTTTAATACAGATAGAACATAGAAGATAATAACATATTAATTCATATCAACATGATTGTGGCCTGCTTTGTATTTTTTTAAACATGAAATTCCTCTGCGGCCTCATGTTGTCTTATTTTCCTGCTCATGGTAAGTTAGCTACACTAACTTTTCAGTTCCTTGGACCTCTTTTCAATTCCTTAAATCAGCGAAACTATGGACCACATCAGGGCCTTTGCATATGCTGTTCCCTGTTTGCAGCTGTCTTTTCCTCCCACTCTTTGCTTTGCTACCTTCTACTCATCTAAAGTTTTTACTGGATTCCCCTGTCTTATTCACTCTTCCCATCTTAAATTTCTTATTTATAGAATTTAACTGTTGATAATTAGTGTTTATTTATGTTCAATTATCTAACAACAGTTTCCTCTTCAGACTTTAAATCCTATGGAGGTAGGAGACTGGTTTTATTTCCCACTGGGGGACACCCCGAACTAGACCTAATCGCCTCTGCTAAATTTATTATTGTGTGAAACAACGTATGTACATCCATGATAACCAGCCTAGCTTCCTTAAAGAATTGTCTTAGAGATTAAATCAATTAAAGCTTTAAAGTTTCAGGTTCTGGGTGCCACATGCTTAGTGCACCAGCTGAGTTAAGAGTCCAGATGGAATTGATCTCTATTAGGAACTTTATCTCAGATTCTTCTCTTGTTTTAGGCCTTTTATTCCTTTTCTTTTTTACTTTAGTCCTCTAGGCTCCCATAGTGGTTAGGGTTTGGGAGAGGCTCACTGAACTCCCTGTGGGAAGTAGTCATTATTCTTAAAACCCTTCTACTTCATAGTCTCTACATTGATTCTTGTCTTTCACATATAGTCATATCTTTGGAATATAATGGATACAGAAGCCAGTTTAAATCCATACCCTTTGACTCCAAGCTACAATTGTGAGAAACATTAAATTGGATATTATCATCATAGGTTACAACTCTGGGTTCTCTGCCTGCTGGTTAAGCATCCTGGTCTATGTTCCTGACAGTACTGTCAGGAAGAAGCTGTATAGCTAATAGGGTTAGATTGTTTGGTATTAATTTTGCTAAGTTCACTGCTCAACTAAACTTGCTTCTGATCAAGAGTGTACTTCTCATCCCAGCAAATGATAATTTTAAAGAGATCTGCTCTTGGGAAATCTCTCCATCTTCCACCTTATGCTCAGAGAGAGATTTTTGTAGCTGCCCGTTTACCCCACCCACTTCACCACCACCATCATCAAAGTAATAGCCTACATTTGTTGAGCTCTTTTATGCAGCAGCCACCTCCCTAAGCACTTCACCTGTGTTGTCTGTCCACAGTTCTTCCTTACAACCATCATGTGAATGTTCAGCTTGGTACCCTCATTACCTCCACTTATGCATCCGACCCTCAGGCAGAGAGAGGTTTAGTAACTTGCCCAAAGCCACACAGCCAGGGAGTAGTAAAGCACAGATGTGAACCATAGCTGTCATTGGGAACAGTTTAACTCTTGGCTATAACACCTTGTTGTTGTAGTTTTTTGTGGGATGCTTCGTTGCATAGTTTCAATGTGTACCATCCAATATGGCTGCTACTGGCTACATGTTACCAGTTAAATTCAAGTTCATTACAATTAAAAACTCAAAAATTCAGTTCCTCCGTTCCACTAGCCATGTTTCAAGGGCTCAAGAGCTGCGTGTGACCAGCAGCTGCCATGTCGGACAGTGCAGATACAGAGCATTTCCTGCGTCACAGGACGTGCTCTTGGTCAGCACTAGTGTAGGGTACTCAAACAGTATTACCAAGAATAGTGCAGCTTGGCAGAGAAGCAAGCACCTATGGGTTATTCAGGAGTAGATGTTTGGGCCGAAACCCAGAAGGTCCTGATTCACTGAGTCCAGGGCAGCCCCTAGAAGTGAGTACGTCTTTAAAAAGTTGCCCAGGTGATCCTCACACATAACCACATCTACAAGTGGTGACTAGTAAAGAGATTAGCGTCTCTTAGAAAATGACACGTGCCACAGGGCTGCAGCAGAGAGCTCCACGTTCCACTGCTTGTGGGTAGAAAAGCATTTCTTTTCCAAACTACAATAACTGATGATCTACCCACACATAAAACGTAATAAAACGTGCATAAATGTGAAACCCTCTGATCTTCCCTCCCTAGTTAAGTGTTGAAACAGGAAGTCAGTGGTGTAATTTCAAAGTCTTCTTCATGTCTCTTAAGATGAAAACATTCTGAGCTCAAAATATGCTAATGGTTTTAAAACATTTCATTCAGATAATCTGCCAGATACATTTTTACATTTTCTAACTTTGCCTTTAATCAGGGTGGGAAACTTACACACTCAACCACCTCTTTCTGCCTTCTCAACGGCACGTTAAATCTCATTTCTTTGCGCTGTTGTTCATTCATTCATTCAACACACATTTTTGGAGCACATACAATGAAACAGGCCGCGTTCTACACGCTGGATATACAAGCAGAAATCCTCGTGGGGTTTCCATTTTAGTGTTGTGTGGGTGGGCATGTGCAGTGCCCCTCCTGCAAGGGGCAATAATAAGTAAGGTGTTTACTGTGTGGGATGGTGGTAAATGCTAACAACAAAAATAAAGCAGGTAAGGGGGATTGTGAATGTTGAAGCAGGTATTGCAGTTTTTAATACGGTGGACAGAGAAAGCCTCACTGAGAAGGTGATGGCTATTGATGTCTTTGCATAAGTGAAATACATTTCCCTTCGAGCTCGCCCTAGTAGCCTCTGCCTCAAGAATGTCTGCTATTCACACATCCCCAAAAGGAAAATTTGGGGGTTATCTCAACGGTCCTCGATTTTCCATCTAGTAATTACCGTAGCAATTGTCTCAGTACAAGCCCTGGCTGCACTTGACATCACCTCCCTGTTGCTCTGGCAGACGACTTCGCATGGTGAATCCTGCTAGGTCTCACCTTTCATTACCCACGGTGACAGGGCTGTAGTTTGTCATGCTTCCCACCAGCCTTGGGACTGCTCTAGAGAGGAGGAGGTGAGTGAGCAGACCTGTGACTCCAGGCAATTTAAAAAAGCCTTCTTAAGAGCCAGAAACTTTTGAAATGTGCAGTTAAAGATTGTATGTGTGCCCAGAGACCTTTTAAAAAAGATACAGCTAACCAAAAATAACTTTCCTTCCTGGGTGCCAGCCTGGTAGTGCAGGGGTATATGGAGACATGGAGACTTTTTCTCCTGTTTGTTTGTTTTATTTTTTTTTAATATTTATTTATTTATTTATTTGTATAACATTTTTGATAGAAAAGAAATAGGGCAGGTGGAGAAGCCGTGGCCAGGGCGGGAGATGGGAAATATAATTAGGAGAGTTGAAAGAGGGTGAGCATAGAATGATGTTCACTACCGGGGGTAATCAGGGAAATTCCAATGAGCTTCTTAATTACAGAGAAATGCCCAAACCCAAAATAAAATTTTGGGTTTGTGTACAAAATGTTATTTGTGAATGTTATCAAGAAAACTCAATAAAACCTTAGGTAGCATGTTCGGAAGCTGTATATCTATGAATTTATTTTAAATAAGACAACTGAATTTGGAGCCATCTGGCTCTTGTTACTATTTTGTTTAGTTCAGGTTTTTTTCTTTTCCCTTAAATATTCTAAGCCACATGTCCTAAATGTTTTTTAAATATTAAGTTTTAGCAGCAGACATATCTAGGCAATTCCACAAATTGTTAAACGATGCAAATGAACAGGAAAAATCAGGTGAATTTTAGAATTCAATTCACAGTAGAGTTATGACTTTAATTTTTAATATAATGATTCTCCATTTTTATCAAGTTATTCTTTGTGACTATACTATGTCTCCTAGTATTATCTCTTTAGTTTCAGAATGAATTTTCTGTTTGTCTGAAAGCTAAAGTTTTTGCTTAATTGGTTTTATAAGTGGAAGCCAAGCACAAGGCAATATATTGGAAGCCATACTGGAAAATATAAACTATGACAAAACAGAAGACACCAAGCAAAGACCCACTCCTCTTTCTCTGAAGAACTTCACGTAGTTTGCTGTCAAACTACATGAAATAAAACTAGGAATCCATGTCAGACGATGGACACCAATGTCATCCTTCTCTTACATTTTCTTTTGGATCTTTGTGCTGATACACTATGTACCTTAGCCCCCTCCTTACACAAAGGGGCCTAGGAACTCCTAGGAACTTAATACTGAAATCAAGAGAGGACTTTCTTAGGGCACCTTTGTGCCCACATGCCCCAGCACAGGAGCTTGGAGAGTTATCTCTAAGTTCTTATCATTTCTTAGTTAATTCATCTTTTCACTCCTGGTGATGTTCCTTATACATTTGTTGTTTTAATCCAGGCAAACCCTTTTTTACACGAAACCCTTCAGAGTTGAAAGGCAAATTCATTCACACGAAGCTGCGGAAAAGCAGCCGTGGCTTTGGCTTCACGGTCGTTGGAGGGGATGAGCCTGACGAGTTTCTGCAGATCAAGAGCTTGGTCCTAGATGGTCCCGCCGCGTTGGACGGCAAGATGGAAACAGGTATGAGACACCACATGGTCCTGTGTGGTCAGGACCAGATGACACCATGATTTCATAAGTTTGTAAGTGTCCTTTAGAAACTTGGCGAATGAACAAGATTCCTGCACTAACTAAATGCATTCCCTGATATAAATGAAAAGCTTTGAAGCATTTTAACATTTCCCCATTTTGGGGAACTGTTAGGGTGCTGTTGAGTACAGTAAGGCAGTAATTTACTAAAAATGTGGATCCATTTGAATAAATGAATTCTCAGCTTGGTTTTTTTATAGTGAGAATTTTTTTCAGAAGAAAGCTCCAATGTTCTTTCAACGATCATTATATTCTCATTAGCAGGGAAGACACTAGATGCTACAAAAATGCCTGATTAGCATAAAATAACTAATAGAAGCAGTCTCTTTGTGCTTTACGGTACTACCCCCAAACAGTTTCAGTTCAGCTTCGTATTGGTAGGATTTGATAGTATAAAACTGATATAACTTTTCTGGGCACTGTTTTTTTAACCGTCAACTCTTTTGCAGGAGATGTGATTGTGAGTGTGAACGACACCTGTGTTTTGGGACACACGCACGCACAAGTTGTGAAAATCTTCCAGTCCATTCCCATCGGTGCCAGCGTGGACCTTGAACTCTGCCGAGGTTATCCATTGCCTTTTGACCCAGATGACCCCAACACGAGTTTAGTGACCTCTGTGGCCATTTTGGATAAAGAACCAATTATTGTGAATGGGCAAGAGACCTATGACTCGCCGGCTAGTCACAGTAGTAAAACAGGCAAAGTCAATGGCATGAAGGATGCCAGGCCAAGCAGCCCTGCAGACGTGGCTTCAAACGGTTCCCATGGTTACCCTAATGACACTGTCTCTTTGGCTTCCTCCATAGCCACTCAGCCAGAACTCATAACTGTTCATATAGTCAAAGGGCCAATGGGCTTTGGTTTTACTATTGCGGACAGTCCTGGAGGTGGCGGCCAAAGAGTGAAACAGATTGTCGACAGTCCAAGGTGCCGAGGCCTGAAGGAAGGGGATCTTATAGTGGAAGTTAATAAGAAGAACGTGCAGGCTCTGACTCACAACCAAGTTGTGGACATGCTGATCGAATGTCCAAAGGGAAGTGAGGTCACATTGTTAGTGCAACGAGGAGGTATGTAGATTTATTATCTTTCACTGTTTTTAAACCCAAATCCATTGTTGTACTTACTGGTTATCAGGTAGCTATTTGGGGCTTTCTGAATGTCTGTTCCTTTAAGATCATTTTTATTTAAATATTGGGAAATGCATTCAAAATGCCTTCTGATTTCTCTAAATGCTAGCCTCTTTAGAATAAAGGTTATGTTTATACTTTATGTATTTATACAAAGGGACATGCAGCTAGAGTGATACTGTTACTGAAAGTGGGGTCTGGCTGCTTGCCACTCAAAAGCTAATAAAAAGGCAAGGTTGGTGGAAAGGAAACTATGTTTTACTTCAGAGGCGGGCAACCTGTGGGGAGGGTGGACTCATGTCCAAAGGCCAGTTCCCCCCCAGCAGAGTCAGTGGGCAAGAGTTTTTATAGCCAGAGGGAGAGGGTTACATGCAGAAACAGCACAGTCAGCTCTCACAGTCATCTTGAAATTGGCCAAGCAGTGGTCTGATCAGTGTCATCTTGATTATTTCAAGTACAGTTAGTCTTCAGTTCCAGGGTCAGTTTGTTCCCATTTCTTTGAGGCCTGTTCTCAGAATTGTGGCAGCTCCTGTCATGGCTGCAGTCTGGTCATCATGTAGTTCACTTCTTCCACCTGGTGCGGGTTTCTGTATCTACAAACCAGCTCAAAGGATATGGCTGTGAATGTTTAGCCCTTGAGAAGGAACTAAAGGTCCCTGACTTTGCTTAATGACTAAACTGTTATTATTTGGTTCTGTTTGACTGTTTTCCTTAGCTTCTGCATTTTCTCACTTCTCTGATTAAACTTATTCTTTGAGTAGAGTTTTTCTACAGACAAAAGGCAGGTGGAGGACATGGCGGGGAAAGGACCATAGGGTCCTGCTCTGTTTCAATACCTTTAAATGTAAATCAGACTGTGCCTTTTAAAACCCATTAAGCTTTGAAAACCTTTATCTTTTAAGTCTCCTGAACCGGGTCGACACAGTGTGCGTGCAAAACGTGGCTCTCGGCCACTCTTCCAGCCTCGTCTCACACTCCTCCCCCTTCCTCACCGTGCTTGGCCACCTGGCTTCTTTTCTGTAGTGCCTTCACTACTCTAAGCCCTTCTGTCTCGGGGCCTTTGCACTTTCTGTTTCCACTGCTTGGAAGACTCTTTTCCCCAGCTCTTCACTTGGCTGGCTCGGGCTCATTCAGGGCTCCTCCTGAGAGAGGGCTTCTCTGATTACTTATCTAAAGTAGCCCCCAGCACTCCTATGTAATCTCTGCTGCATCACCCCATTTCTTTTTTTTGTTTGTTTTGGTTTTTTTTGTTGTTTGTTTTGTTTTTTTGCGGTACGCGGGCCTCTCACTGTTGTGGCCTCTCCTGCTGCGGAGCACAGGCTCCGGACGCACAGGCTCAGCGACCGTGGCTCACGGGCCCAGCCGCTCCGCGGCATGCGGGATCTTCCCGGACCGGGGCACGAACCCGCGTCCCCTGCATCGGCAGGCGGACTCTCAACCACTGTGCCACCAGGGAAGCCCCACCCCATTTCTTAATAGCTTTTATCATGATCATTATTATCACAAGCCATTGTTTTGTATATTTACTTATTTTTCTTTGTTCCTCTCTCTTTTTCTTTTTTTTTATTGGAGTACAGTTTTTTAAATTTTTATTGGAGTATAGTTGATTTACAATGTTATGTCAGTTTCAGGCATACCGCAAAGTGAATCTGTTATACATGTACATATATCCACCCTTTTTTAGATTCTTTTCCCGTATAGGTCATGACAAGAGTGTTGAGTAGAGTTCCCTGTGCTGTACAGTAGGTCCTTATTGGTTATCTGCTTTATATATAGTAGCGTGTATATGTCAATCCCAATCTTTCAATTTATCCCTCCCCCAACCTTACCCCCGGGAATCATAAGTTCATTTTCTACATCTGTAAATCTATTTCTGTTTTGTAGATAAGTTCATTTGTACCCTTTGTTTTTAGATTCCACATATAAGCGATATCATATGATATTTGTCTTTCTCTGACTTCACTCAGTGTGACAATCTCTAGGTCCATCCAAGTTGATGCAAATGGCATTATTTTGTTCTTCTTTATGACTAATATTCCATTGTGTGTATGTACCACATCTTCTTTATCCATTCATCTGTTGATGGGCATCTAGGTTGCTTCCGTGTCCTGGCTATCGTAAATAGCACTGCAATGAACATTGGGGTGTGTGTATCTTTTTGAATTATGCTTTTCTCCAGATATATGCCCAAGAATGGGATTGCTGGATCAGATGGTAGCTCTATTTTTAGTTTTTTAAGGAACCTGCATACTGTTCTCCATAGTGGCTCTACCAGTTTCCATTCCCACCAACAGTGTAGGAGGGTTCCCTTTACTCTCTCTTTTTCATTCGAATATAAGCTCCATAAAGCCAGAGCCCACCTCTGCATGTTGACAGCTGTATCCCCAGTACTTAACACAGTACCTGACTCCCGCTAGGTGCTCATGAATGAATAGGTAATGAATGAATGAATGGATATGTGATTATTTATACTTGGCAGCAACAACGGCTCCACCAATCGTATCAAAAACATCTCAGCATACGCACATTTTAATGAAGGGGTAGTGGATCTCAGAGAAGTGGGGGTATTCTAAATCCTTAGACAGTTGGCTTTCTTTCCCCTGCCAGCAATCCCCCACCTCTGTGCCACCGGAACTCCCATGACCTCACACTGAGAAACATTTTATGCCTGTTGAAATGTCTTGCTCCTGGGTCTGTATTTGTGACTAATCTTGATTGATCACCTCCCACAATGGGCCTGAGTTTGGTCATTTCCTTGACCCTTGCCAATAGGATGTGTTTCATGCACAGAGTATTCTGACCCTCTGAAAAGAGATCAGGACCCAGACTTTTATTTCCTCTCGGTTTCATTGAGACAGAAAAGCTTGTTTATGTCGCAACAGCCATGTCCTTGGGCTCTCGTGAAGCTGTGTGTGCTGTGATCAAAATGATTGGGGTTGTGGGAAGGACATCCAAAATTCAGGACTGTCTGTGTGAATTACAATGCTCAGTCCACCCTTCTTGAAGAGGTGTAAAACCCATTTGCAGATTTTTAAATTTTTTTTGCAGATTTTTTTTTACTTTATTTATTTTTATTTCTTTATTTATTTTGCGGTACGCGGGCCTCTCACTGTTGTGGTCTCTCCCGTTGCGGAGCACAGGCTCCGGACGCGCAGGCTCAGCGGCCATGGCTCACGGGCCCAGCCGCTCCACGGCACGTGGGTTCTTCCGGGACTGTGGCACGAACCCGT